ACCATATATTTTTTTGAAATTGCATCGTATTGGGCATTTTGAGCCTTTGATACATATTTTCAGCCAAAATATCTTGATGTTTAACTTTGGATGTATCTTGGTGAAACTATGTAGGCTTCACAGTTAGAATCTGTTTGACATAGCACATAGGAACTGTGGCTCATTGGTTCAAAGAGATGAATTTGAACCAATAGGTCATGGGTTCCAGCCCCGCCCCACCTCACCGACTGAGATCTAGACAACCAGATAGTGTCATTGTATCTTATGCAATGGGTGTGCCTCACTGCCTACTGTATCAATATACACAAGGTTGTTGAGTGCACTTCCGTTTCGATATCACGCATCATGCGTTGGCGATTCTATGCGGTATAACTCCAAATTAATCGTTCCACCATGAATATGTTTACACTTTGGTTTTACTTCCTAATCGGGGGCATCTTACTACTGTTTAAATGTTTTTATTACACTGTCTGCAGCTAGATGGGTATGTATCATCAAGAATGGCAGTGTTTTAGCGTAGAGATTCTTTAGAACGTTTTCATGAAGTAGCTCAGCAAGTAAGTGGTAAATCACTCAAGTTTTAAAGTATGTCAGATATAATTCTTAGTATGTATTAAGCAGATGCTTACCTTAACTAGCCATGTTTGCTTAACTAGTAGTTAGGGTTAGGCATTTTTAAAGAACAATGAAAACAAGATTGGTCATGGTGTTAAAATGACATAAACATGCAAAGAAGTCCAGTGACGGCGTTGGTTGACGGTCAGCCTATATCGTAGACTGACAGAAGTAGGAAATATAAACCACTAGACTCCGACCCAACGTGGTGGCCACGGAATCTGAAGGCCGTGGGTTCGATCCCTGGAGGGTGGGGTCGTTAATGCGCCCTGCTGAGGAGTCCTATACTAGGACGAAACAGCTGTCCAGTGCTCCCAGGTTTCCAATGTTTCTCCGATTGATGTTAGTTCATGATAAGAACCAAGCTGAAATACGAAGAAATGTCTGTTTGTTTGTATCCTATTGCGCGGTTGTGAGACATGACCGTTAAAAGTAAAAGACATAAAGTTGTTGCAGGGTTTTGATCATCAGTGTTTTCATAGCTTTCCTCGCGTTTGATGGAATCACTGTGTAAGCAATATTGAGGTCAGCGGAAGCGTACTAAGGAAGACATGGAGGTTGACCGATATGGTTATGAACTTTCGTCGACTGAGATGGTGTGAATATGTGTTGTGCATGCTGAACCACCACGTGGGTACTCCGACGTGGCATCCTAAGGGATTAGGTTGAAGAGGGTACCAGTGAACGAAGTCCCTGACTGGTAACTTGAGTCATGTAGGGTGGTGTAGACTACCTAGCTGAGGTCTCCAAGATGAAAGGAATCAGTCGCTGAGGGCTCTTAGTGAAATGGCTGGAAATTGGTCACGATGGCGTTGATATATCCTTTATTTTTCGTCTTCTTCTAGTCTCACACAACTTTGTATACTTTGATATCATTCTTTTCCTGTCCACTTGTTCTTTATGTGTTATACTATAAAGTATGGCAACTCGAACCGATGACATTGTGTACGAGATTCCACGTTGATTTTGTCTGTCTGTCTCTTTGTCCTACTGACTGGAAACTGTCACCAGGTTACTGGCAATAAATGAGTGTTAGCCCTCGAACACACTTGAAAACTGTTATGTTAGGAGTAGTTTGATACACATTTAGCCTCTGTCTTTAGACTCAATATGTATGGTTGTTATTTTGTGTATCTTTTCGCCGTTTTATTCCTCTTATTTATTCTCAAAAAAGCAAAGTGAACTTTGATACAATTACCTTGATTCTGATAGCTTTTTCAAATTATTCGGTGTAGAGATTTGCGTTACATTTGCTCCCGTAGGTTCTAAGCAGTTGATGAAAGTTTCAAAGAACGAAACTTCATTTTATTGTTTTCATCCTTTTTTTGTTGATAACAGAGAATGAAATCTAATCATAAAATAGAATTATATTTCAATACACACAGAATACTATTTTCTTCCTTACTTGTAGACTGAAATTCCTATATTGCCTTTATTTGTAACACAGATAAATGGTTGCAAGCTTTTTATTACAGGTCTCTTCATAGCACTGCTCATTTTTGGTGGAATCACTATGGGAGCAATGTAGAAGTCAGACAAAAAGTACTAGGCAAGGAAGGCAAGTCAGTCGACAGGGTCGCGAACCTTCGTTGACTAAGATGGCTTTGACATGTGTTGTGTATGCCGGGCCACCATCTGCCTCGACGTGTGATGCTAGGGAAAGTTCGATTAGGTTGAGAGAAGGCTTAGAGTGGCCATACTAAGACGTGCCATCATTGAATGAAGTCCTTGACTGTTGGTCTGAGTTGTGTAGGGTGGTGTAGACTACTTGATTGGAGTCCATCAAACGATAGGTGACATGGCTGAAAGTCGATGACAGTTATACAGATGTGTTCATACCTTCCTATCTTGTAAGTTTTGAGTGTTTATGATAACCTCCATTTTAAATTCTCTCTCCTTTCATTTACCATTGTCTGCTTTGATATTCTTCTCTTCTGTGCACTTTTTCTTTTGTATGCGATTGTGACGTGTAGCAGTTTGAGTTAATGGACTTTTGTGTGGGGTTCTACGTTGATTCTGTGTATTTGTCTGTTGTAATACAGATTATATGAAGGTTGATTGAATTACTACTTGTTGATATACTTGTAATTCTCCATTGTTATACTGGATCGAATTATTCAACTTCTATAGGCCATACGGGTTCCTATGTGAATGCCTCAATATTGCCTGAATATTTATTATAATAATTTACTTGGTTGTGGCTAGCAGAGAGAGGAATCTAGGACAAGCGTTTCACCATAGTAGGAAAAAAACCACTCATTGAGGTGCAGGGACATCTAACTGACATGTCCGGAATAAGACAAAACGTGCATTCTGCTAACTACAGTAAACAGGAGTTTTTTTTTTCTCGGTATATAATGCTTTTATTCACTATCTAATTGGAGTTTTATCCTTTAGACTCACACTCACATCATACACTTTTTTTGCATAGATTATAAAAGATTGATTCATCAAGTGAAATATGAATTTGTTTCTAATTGGAATTTAATCAACATTTTTTTAATGATACCTTGTTGACTTTAATGTTTGTCAATCAGTGGAACAGCATTATTCTTGGTAAAAATACCATAATATACTATATATATATATATATATATATATATATATATATATATATATATATATATATATATATATATATATATATATATATATATATATATATATATATATATATATATATATATATAACTTGTTGATAGACAGATTAGAAAAGATCTTGTTGCGACAACCCAACTATTCTCCTTCTCTCTGGAATGTAATGACTTTTTATTGAATACCCAACATGTGTTCTAATCATGGTATTTCTTTTGTGATTATAAGGCATGTTTAAGCATTAAAAATAAGTCAGGAGGTTTTGTAATGAAATCACTCACTCACTCTCTCTTCGTATATATATATATATATATATATATATATATATATATATATATATATATATATATATATGTAGGCTACTGACTCACTACATGCTACGTGATCTTGTGAAAATCAATCCTTTAATTGCATAACATTAGTATAGTAGTATTGACTTGTTTAATAATCAAGATAATAGAAACGATTTCTAACTCAGATTGAGGATGATAATTGTCTCCAAGCTTTAAGGTTTGTTTATGAACGTTTCATCACGAGACTAGATTGGATAAATGCAAATACACCAGAGAATTAAACATATTGCAGTTTTACAGAAAGTGAATTTCATGCTATATTTATCAGTATTTTAAAAAAAATGATCGTATAATTTTAACGAAACTTACTGATAACAAAATTGTTGTAGGATACACTTGTAGGCTTCATGTTGTTATTAATTTCGTGGAGTTATGAGTCATTGGTTTAAAACAGTTAACTTTCAACCAGTAAGTCATGGGTTCGAACCCCGAGGCTCCAAATAGTAGTGTCATTAGTCCTTCTACAATATCCGGCTGGCTCATTGCTTACTGCATGAATGTCCACAAGACAACTAAGTAGTTGTGCTTATTTCTCTTCTCACATGTGGTTCACCTTATTAATTGAAATGATGAAAGAATTTTTAGTGAATAAAAGTTTTTTAAAATATTTAGGATAGGTAAAGCTCCAATTCGTGACATAAAACGTAACTTGTAGCTGATTTTACTGAGTTATGCTGTGTGTGTGTGTTTATAGCACGTCCACCCGTAGAGTTCAATCCAGTTAATCTTCGTCTTTGATAGTTATTCCTTTGTGAAATTAACATTTGACCAGTTTTTATGGCCACTAGAAGATGTATTCTACAAAAGTAACATTACTCAACACTTGCCCATGCTCAGGTTTATACATGAAATGAAAAATTGGTTTATGGTAGATGAGAGTTTTGTTTTGTAAATACACCTGTAACTTAGATGTAGTATTCATTATGGACTGACATCAGTTGAGGAACCATTGAAAATCCGGGAACACTAGACAGCTGTTTCGTCTTAGTTTTGGACTGCTCAGCAGTACGGACTCACGACCCAGCTAGGGATGTTTCCAAATGTATATCACGAAGTTCTAATGAGAAGCCACGATCTGTAGGGTTAACAAGTTGGAAGTGAAGCGGATGCCAATCGAAGACCTTGGGTGATAGTCGTGCTACATTGTGAATTGACAAAAGTTGGAAATTGTGAACCATTAAAAACCGACCCAGTGGCTGAATGGTCAATGTGTTCGCCGTGAAACCTGAAGGTTTTGAGTTCTATCCCTAGCCGAGTCGTGGGTACGTACTCCTGAGGAGTCCCATACCAGGATAAAACAGCTGTCCAGTGCTCCCAGATTTTCAATGGTTCTCCAATTGATGTCAGTCTAAATTAAAAAAAATCCCCATTCATCTCAAAAATACACCTGTAACTGTTTATTTTTACTATCTTTGTTATTTCTTTTATGAATTAAAGTCGAATGATCATGGATAAAATTGATCAGTTGAATGAAGCGCATGCACTGTTTACCGATTGGATTAATAAACTATCCTCAGCGGAGTTTGTAAATAACCTATTCGGTCCAACTATTATTCATACTACTGATGAAACGAATCATATTTATCAACAAATTCTTCCATCTGAATCAAGTTATACTGTACAGGATAGTAATTTATTACAAGATTTACAAAATGATGGAGAGCTATTGTTCTGTCAACTTCAATCATGTGCTCTAGTAAGTTTTTTTTTTTTTCGCTTTGCCTTTTGTACAATTAATTAATTCATAGAAATTGATCCATACAAGACTGTAGATAAAGTTTTTTAGATTGGTTTCAACTATCCTGACTATGTTATCAAGCGAGATGGCTGAGATATGTGTTATGCATGTTTAGTCACCGTCTACCTCATCATGCGATGTTGGCTAAAGTAGGTTCAGGCTAGAAAAGCACTCGAGTCTGCTAGACTAAAAACATAGCATCGTTATAGGAAGTATTTGACTGTTCGTTTGAACCTATATAGGGAGATTCAGACTAACCGATTAGTGGTCTACATGACTACAGGAACCAGTGATTGAAGACTGTTAGTGATATGACTCAGAATCGACATCAGTAGCATAGATGTATCCACACTCTTTCTTCATTTTAATTTTGATAATAAACTGAGCATTTTCTCACTCCTCCTCCCTTTCTTTGTGGTTTATATCGCTTTTGATCGACTTTTCTTTCTTTCTTCATCTTTCATTTTATTGCTTTGTCGCCTGATGTACTCATATGATAAGGTGTGGCAACTGGGATCACTGTAATCGAATGTATAGTATTGCAGTGGTTTTACAGTTATGGAACCTGTTTGAGTCTGTGTAAGTGAACATTAACTATCTAATAATTGTAAGCGTTGTATACAAATAGAACCAATGAAATATTAACGGAATCTAGCTTTTCGACTTGGTTCACTCGTAAATTTTCACTAGTTAATTACTGAAGTAAAAAGAAGTAAAGTTTATCACACAGAATGAGAAACCTGAAGATTTTGCGTTCGATTCCTGATGAGATGATCGGTCCTGCACTGCTGAAGATTCCTGTATTGGGACGAAACAGCTGTCCACTGTTTGCTCCCAGGCAAACTGATTTCAGTCCGTTGATTAATACCTAACGAAGGATTATGCTGTTGTATTTTGAGGTTAACAAAGTTTTTATTTTTAAGGCAGCATTCATTACCAGCTGACACCAGTAGGAGAACAATTAAAAACCTAGAATCACTAAACAGATGTTTCGTCTGAGTATAAGACTCTTCAGCGGTACGCACCCATGACTCCACCATGGATCGAACTCAGGACCTCCAGGTTCATGGTGAACGCGTTGGGTCAGAGTTAAGTGGTCCACACTTCCCTACTTTTGTCAACTCGCAATATAGGTTGACCAACATCCAATGTTTTCAGTCTGCATCCACTTCACTTCCAGAAAGTCCTGAGTTTGATCCCTGACAGAGTCGTGGGTGCGTACTGCTAAGGAGTCCCATACTAGGACTAAACAGCCACCTAGTACTCTCCAGTTTCCGACTGTGTCAGTCCATGATGACGCTACGTAATCAGCCACCTTTTCTACGCTCGTACAGTAGGCAATGAGCCATACCTATTGTGTGAGAGCTAGTAATACCACCTGGCTGCCTAAACCTCGGTAGGTGAGCGGGGTTCGATCCTTTTACCCACTGGTTAATAGACATCTCCCCAAACTACTGAGCGACAACTTCATAGTTCATAATGAATACTACCTTTAAAAAGATTATGTTATTGTCGATGGGATACACTGAATATTCTTTTTATCTTTGATTTTAATTATGACGCATATCTGAAACTCTAGAAATATTAAAACTGTCTGGTTTAAATTAGTTTAGTATTGTTATTATATTATTATTGCTGCTATTATTATTATTATTATTATTATTATTATTATTATTATTATTATTCAATAATGGACTGTAAGCAGCTTTGGTCGGCGAAAAGTTATCTGAATAAAAAGCTATGACCTTCACAACGAAATCAATCTTATTCACTCTGAAATGAGATAGTCATAAAGCGAAAATAAATGAAAAAAATTTATTTTGAGGATGATTTTTTGGCTATTAAATTATATAAGCTTTAAACTTCACATGAAAAGAATGTGGAAAACATATTGTTAAGAAGTTTCGCACTGAAGTATGAAAAATCTCCCCTATTCAATGTTTTTTTCAGCTAGTTACATAAAAGGAGCGTTGACGGTTGATAATAAACTTTGAAGTTGAAATGTCAGTTGGATGGGGGGGCGGGGGTGGGATCGGTAGGGAAACTGTGTTTCGCCAAGGTTTCGTACTTGTTAGGATTCATCAGCATGACGTATGTACAACCTTTACGGGATTAATGTCTTATCTGAGAATATTCGCACTAACTATTATCTTCAGATTGCTTATTCTATCATACAACTTTGTCTACTTTTTCTTTATATGCTACTGTGAAATGTGGCAGATTGAACTGATGCACTTGTATGGGAGGTTCTACGTTGATTTCATCTGTCCTCATCAGAGACTCGAAGTCGCTGTTTCACTCAGTGCTGCAGTTAGAGATGTGACCACTGAGCTATTTCGGCTATGACTGACCTTCTGTAAGGAGGAATTAGATACACTGAGTGGTGACTAGAGCATAACCACTTTTATGTTGTCTAGTTGTGATATCTAACCTAATTCTATCGATCAGTAATAAGTGACAGTGTTACACTTGGTGAGTGTCATATATGAATAAAGCATGATAGATCTATTTCTCGTGACTAAATCTTCTCATACTTCCTATAAACAGTAGATAATCTATTCCTTATGGCACGTGTGACATTTTTTCAACATATCAGTACATATATACTCTCTGATTATATATATATATATATATATATATATATCCTTTCTAGAACAGGTTTATTGGATAATAAGCTGAAGTAGAGTGGATTTATGCAACGAAATTAAATAACAATGATGGATACCGGCTAGCAGTAGAATCCAAGATGCGCATTTCGTCCTATTTAGGACTCGTCAGCTGGACGTACCTGCTCCCCAGTGAGTGATATTGTTCGCACCGGGATTCAGACTTGGGAGCGATCGCTTCAAACTCCAAAAGGTTGTCCACTACACCACAGAGCCACGATAGCCACTTCTTGTACGATGGATATAGTTCTAGTGTTACTGCTTGTATTACACCGCCGTTGATTGGACCGAATTGATCGGTCTTTGTTGGCATATGGGCTCCTGTGCAGATGCCTCAATAGTACAAGCAGTTATACTAAAACTATATCTGTCGCACAAGAAGTGGCTATCGTGGCTCTGTGGTGTAGTGGATAACCGTTTGGAGTTTGAAACGATCGCTCCCAAGTCCGAATCCCAGTGGGAACAATATCACTCAGTAGGGAGCAGGTATGTCCAGCTGACGAGTCCCAAATAGGACGAAATGCGCATCCTGGACTTCACTGCTAACCGCTATCCATCAATACTATTATTAGAGCACAGATAAAATCGAGGGATCGGCACAGAAACCCATATGCCAATAAAGACCGATCAATTCATGGATTAATTGACTCCAACTTGTGCTGAGATATGTACAACTTATTCTTTCCCTCTCACACACCTCTTTATTTCATAATACTTGAACACCTATTCATCTTATCAATTCCCTCTCAGATATCTTCTTTAAAATAAAAAAACTAACTGTTATTTATCAAGGGAATCAGAAAAAAGGTGAGTGAGTGAAGGAAAGAATTTCAAGTGGAAAAATAATAAACAAGCAATCGCAAGTAGTAATTCTCCTGCCTGATTGGCCTAATGAATAACCCTTCGCCATTTAAAGCTATGTGGACGAGTTATGAATCTCAGTGGGAACAACATCACTCGCAGAGTTGGAAGTATATACAGCTGATGAGTGTTTCATAAGTAGAACGAAACATGCACTCTGGATTCCACTGCTAACTACCAAGATGGATACAGAAAGAGATGTGATTGATGAACATGGGAAGTTAAACAGTGAAATTCGGTCAATTTATTGGTCTACTTAACAATTCTATTCAGTTTTTCTTTCTTTCTTTAACTGCCGTTCATTAAGTGAATAACAGTTCACTGTTTAAGTAAATACATCCCACTGCTTTCATGTTTGCTACATATTTTCCATCACAGTACGCATAAAAAATAATTATATGGTACGAATATTCGTGTAACTGATTTTCTATGGATGTCATCTATGCATTTTTACAAGGTACGGGAATATTTTGTCGTTATCTCTAGACATTTAAGTGATGGCTAGGTTAAAGTATCTCTCAAACCCTATTATTATTATTATTATTATTATTATTATTATTATTATTATTATTATTATTATTATTTGTCCCTTGGGTTCCTAGTGGAACATAAGGTTTCACTAGCATGTCTCCATTGCACTCTCTTCTCTGCAGTCTTTTCAACCTTGCTCCACGACAGCTCACAAGCTTTCATTTCTTCCTCACACGATCTCCTCAACGTCACCCTCGGATGCCCAACTAGTCGTTCCCTCTTTTGATTCCACTCTAGGGCCCTGGTCTGGTGCGTGGTGTCCCCGAATGGTCTTCTCAGCACATGCCCGATCCATTTCCACTTTCTTCTACATATTTATTGGGCGACAGGTTCTTGGTTGGTTCGTTACCAGCCAGCCAGAGTTCCTTGTTGCTTGTTCTTATTATTGTGGCCATTTGATCTGATCTTCAGTATGAAGTGAGCGTAAATGGCAGCCGTTGATGTATGTCTGCAGTTTGTTGGGAATACTTTTCGTAACGCGCCAAGTCTCACAACCATATAGAAGCACTGACTCGACTTACATTAGTGTTGGAAATCGGGATATTGTTCACGCTTTATGCTGAGTGGAGTGGAGTGCAGTAGATCTCCACACTGATTTCAGGTTAATGAATGCCTGTCTTGCTGTCTTTCCGACCTTGGCTTTGATGTCCTCGTCTGTGACGCCTGTAGTTGAGATGATACTGCCTAGGTATGTGTAGGTGAAAGAGACTACTTCCTTTAAATTTCTCCTGTTGATGGTGCTTGTTGTTATTGTTGTTGCTGTTGTTGGTTGGGTATCTTCACCGCCTCTGTCTTCTCTACATTCACCTGAAGTTCCGTCTTCGCTGCCCTGCCTTGCCTCTTCTGTCAACTTGTTGGTTTTTGCCTGTATATTTTCGAGTTTGTGAGACATTAAACATAAATCATCATCTCTAGCGAAGTCTAAATCTTCTAGGGTCTTTCCATCGGTCAAGCAGCGTATACGCACCCCTCTTCTTACTCCTCACAGTTTGCTGCATGATGCAGTCCAGTTGAGTCGACCACAATCAGGAAGATGATCAGTGATAGTAGGTGGCAGCCTTGTCTTACTCTTGTCTTCATTTCAAAGGTGTCACTGAGCTTTCCACTGGGAATCACTTCGCATGTAGCCTGATTATATAGAATATAGCTGCTGTTGAATGAGGTTGATAAAGATTTGTGGCACTAAAAGCGTAGTGTTGAGGCAGCAGCTGCCTGCCAGATTACTTGTCGATCGATGCTGTCGAATGCCTTTTGAATGTCGATGAAGTTGAGGTAGAGAGTTGACTGTGATTCTGCGCTCTGTCCTATTATGATGCATAGCGTAGCGTAGGAATTTGATCCACATATGATTTGTTTTTCCTGAAGCCAGCCAGCCAGCCAGCCAGGTTGTTCGGTTGTAATTTTGAATGGAGAAGAATGTTTAGTCTCTGCAAGATGATGGTGCTTAATATTTTGGTTGGAGTGGACAAGAGGATTATTCCGCGTAAGTTCTTGTTCTTGCAAAAACTTACTTCTTCCTTGTTTGGGAGTTTGTCAAGGTAACGTTTATTCTCATCAGCAGGTACCTTTCTTTCCTTCCAAACTTTCTGTAATAGTGATGTAAGCATGTCCGCTTTTGTCTCTATGTCTGTTTTAGTTCTTCTGGCGGAATTCCATCTGGTCTTGCTGCTTCCCCGTATATATATATATATATATATATATATATATATATATATATATATATATATATATATATATATATATATATCAGAAATATAAGAATTGGCGTAGGTGTTAATTTATGTAGTGGTGGTATAAAGATGTAAGATTGATGCTTAATGATCTCGCGTAGGGCATAAAATAAAAATGTTTTTTAGGCGGAACTTAACTTGTACAATTTTTATTGTTTGACAATGCGATTTTCTTGATATCGTGATAAATCTCACCTCTCTACGTGAATGATATTTAGCAAATATAATTCCATCATTTAATGTATGCAAAGAATTATACAGTTAACTAAAGCATCTTGTTGTTAGAAGTCAACACTCAGTGAATTAAGCGACTCAATTCTTTGGGAGAATAAATGATAAACCGGTGTCCTTTGATGTACCTACACTTTGTATGTCAGTTGACTGTCAGTCTCGCGAAAAAAGCAATGAGTATCCCTCCGAGTAATGACCTATATTTCTAAAAAACATACGAAAATTACTGCCACATACTTGGTAGAACTGATCAACTCATATCTTATGACTAACTTTCAGTTCAACGGAAAAATCTACAAACTAATTAAAGGGACTGTCATGGACTCATCAATATGCGAACTGATCGCTAAACTAGTGATAGAGAGATTTAGAATCAATAGTCATTTCAACAGTCAAACCGAAATAGCTGGATTGGTTCCATCAACGACACTTTTGTAACTATCAAAACAAGGGAGTTGGAAAACTCATTGAATTTCATTAGTCGAACTCGGGAACGTATTCAATTCATAAAAGAAGAGGAAAAAAGTGGAAATCACAGACTCTCAATGTACAGGAAGGTGACACACACACAGATCAAGTTTCAAATTATAACAGTAACAGCTTAATATGTGTGTGTATAAGCACTATTCACATGTGTCAAGGCTGATTGTAGTACTCAACAACTTGAGATGTTAAAAGTAAACCACATTTATAAGGTGTTCATAGTCAGTGACTATCGAATTGAATTCATCAAGAAATGCCTATCAACAGAAGAAAAATCAAGACAATTACCTCAACCTACAAAACAAATCACTTTATCACACATCAAGTATGTCTCAGAAAAAGCAGAATTACTTCATCCATTCAATATCAGTGTGATACACGAATCAATTGAGTCCCTGAGGAATATATATGCAAGCTAAGATATCCATTACCTGAAGACAAGATGAATACAATTTATAAAACTAATTGCAAGGACTGTCCACATCATTGTGTTGGCCAATCCGGTCGTCGAATAGGCGAACGAATTTTTAAATACCAACTTGCAGTTAAACGATATGATAAATTCTCATTGATACTGCTACATTTAGATGAAAATAACTTCGAATGGGAAGAAGTAAGAATACTACAAGAAGCAGGCTTAAAAACTACAAGAAACTTCCTGGAAGTGTGGTATTCCAATCGAACGGTAGTCAGTAAACACGTGGACATTAACCCAACATGCAGACTAGTAGGTAGGGATCAGCTAACTTGAAATCTGTCTAGTTGAATCAATATTCAGTCAATCAATCAACAGTCTAGGACAACAACAGTCACTAAAGACAACTTTTCATAAAAAACGGGTAGGTCACTCATACCCACAAGTCAATAGCTCGCAACTTCGACAAATATCCGTTATCGGCATTTGTGCAACTTAAAAATGCTTCAGTTTTACGCGAAGTAAATGCAGATGAGGTCGCTTAGCCTGATGATGAGACGTTTGTTGGTTTTGACTTTCAGAATGTTCTGCGACTGTATCGTAAAGTCTGGTTATCACTGCAGTGGTTTGCTAGGGTTAATTGTCTCACCTGAACGTTTATTTTTTTATATGAAAAAGATTAAATATCATTCTTTATTAGTAGCGATAAATAGTGGCTAGCAGTGAAATCCAGAAAGCGCGTTTCAGTTGCATATACTTGCCTCCCAGTGAGTGATGTTGTTCTCACTAAGAATTAACGACAACTAGTGGTATCCGCCTGGGATGCTCAATGTCACCGTTCTTATTTAAGTTCGTTATGAACTTACTAATGGGTATAACTTTGGGTACGTCTGGCTTCACAGGGGTTAATCTAGTCCTTGGAGGCTATCTGGTTACTTTAGAGAATGCAGACGATATTGTCTTCCCGAAATGCTAAGCAGAAATCTGAGTATGTTTGCCGTGTGTTTTGCTGACACCTACCAAAGGTAAGATGATGCCCTACGGCTGGTCTACTACTACTCCCAGTTTAATGATAGGGCATGAAGTGGTGAAATGTTTTGACCACTTCACTTTACTTACTTGGGGAGTTGCATCAGCCCGAATGGACTGGTTGCTGGCGAAATCTCAGCTCGGATCGAGAAGGCCCATATAGCATTTGTCAACTTGCGTCATCTATGACGCCGACGGGGGATATATCCGACTATCTGTCAAAAGACGAGTATACTGTACTGCAGTTCGTTCCTTCCTGTTGTATGACTATGAGATATAGCCATTAAAAGTAGAAGATATGAAGCGGTTGCAGGGTTTTATCCATTGGCGTCTTCGTAGGATTGCTTGTGTTTGGTAGAATGACCGTATGAGCAATGTAGATGTTAGGCAAAGGATACTAGGCAAGACAGTGAAGTCGATTGATGAGGTTTTGAACCGTAGTCAACTTAGATGGCTTGGACATGTGTAACGCATGCTGAGTCATCACTTGCTTCGACGTGCACCGCTGATAGGGAGTGTTGAGTAGGTTGGAAGAGGGTTCAGGTTGGTAAGACGAAGACGTGGTACCAATGCATGAAGTCTTTGACTGTTAATCTGAGTCGTGTAGAGCGATGGTTCCTTGAGACGGCAGGAACCAGTGGTTGCAGACTCTCGGTGACATGCCTGGAAATCGGTCACAATGGTACAGGTGTATTCACTCTTTGATATCTTGGAAAGCTTGAGTATTTCAGTAATCGTAGTCTTTAAATTGTGTATTCTGTCACACAACGTTGTCCACTTTAATATCAGTCTTCCCTACCCACTTATTCCTTGTATACTGCTGTGAAGTACGTTGACTTGAGGGGACGTACCTGTATGCGACTTTCCACGTTGATTTTATCGGTCTGTCTGCCAATTGCCGGTGAGATCTCTGCATGGATACAAAAGGCTCGATCGGCTTTCGCCAACTTACGCTACCTGTGACGCCACCGTGATATCCGATTGTCTACTATGGGTCACGAATACTGCACAGCAGTCAGGTCTTTTCCACTGTATGGCTTTGAAACATGGCCATTCAAGGTGGAAGATATGAGAAGGCTTTAGGTGTGTGACCACCGTTGCCTTCATAGTATACGCCGAATTCCATGGTGTCACCACGTGAGTAACGCAGGAGTCAGGAGTAGAGTTTTAGGAAGAAGAGGTAAGTCAGTTGACGAGGTTGTGAATCTTCATCAACTGAGATGGTTGGGACACGTGTTACGTATGCCCAGTCACCGATTGCCTCATCACACAATGTTGGCTGAAGTAGGTCCAGGCTGAAAAAGGGCCGGAGGTGACCAGACCAAAACAGGACACCAATGCATGAAGTCTCTGACCGTTAGTTTCAGCCATTTGGGACGATGCAGACTAGGTGGTTGGGGTCGGTGGGACAAAAGAAACCAGGTGATATGGCTGAGAACCGATGTCAGTGGTGCAGATGTATATATACATTATCCTCATCTTATTGACACTATACCGAATCTCACCACTTTCTCATTCTTCCTTTCTCTCTTTTCGTACTTTATATTTCTTTTGATTGAATTTTCTTATCTTCATCTTTCATCTCACTACCGTTCTACTTGATGTAGTGATATGAGGTGTGTCAAGTGGGACCGTTATGTAGTAATGCCTGATCCTAGGTTGATCTACATAGATGGTCTATCTGTCACTGGGACTCAAGCATTAGCATATCATTCTTCTTACTGATTAATTCAGTATAACAGAAAATATTTTTTTATTCATTCAGTGTCTAGGCATCTTGTTTACCGTTATTTTTAAATAATTCTTTCAGTCTGTCTTTGAATTACTCAAAACTGTTGGATACACCTCTTTCATTGAACCATCACGTATGGAAGCTTCATTATATGAATGTTGGTTAGTTTTAATGGTTCCATATTATTTAAATTATAAATATATTATTTATAGAAAAAAAAAAACATTTTGTTATAGACTTGAAAGTGTTCCAGTCTTTATCTACTAGCCTCCTCTCACCCTGTGCCATAAATAGTTATAAATCATGACGTTTTTTCCAAATGTGAAAATTAGTTTTATATCTATGTGAAAAAAAAACACAATGTTAATTTGCATGTATTATAGTCAAAAGGTAATCTGAGGTTCATTCAACCTTTAGAAATGAATTTTTAATAAATAGTATTGTATATCTGTGTGTATGTTTTCCGTATCCATCCTGCGGTACATTATTTTAACGTTAGATGATGGAATTCGTGTAGCAAGAAGCCCTGGGTTACCTAATGCCAATCATTACTAAGGCATATCTGTATTCACAAGGGAATTGGGTTGTGTTGTTTTTTTTTCTTGGTGAAGCAGGTTCAAATCACCGAAGAAACACTGATTTCCTCGTCGTTACAAATATACTTTCCTGATGAGTTTCAAAAAGCGAGAAGCCTGGATCAAGTACAAATTTTTGCCCACTAAAATTGTTCTTGGATTCTTCTCCTTTATTGTATGACTAAGATTAATTGAGCCAAGAAATGTCATTTTTACAGTAGGTAGTTATTATGAAATGACATCAGTTGGAGAATCATTGAAAACCTTGGAGGACTGGTGGACAGCGCAAATTTCATCCAATGCAATAATTGGTTAGTTGTCTTTATCTGCTATTTGACATCCCACATAGGTCATGACTTCTCATTACAACTTCAGGAAATCTCATCTCGAAGCATGCCATTTTGCTATGTGTATATAAAACGGTTATCTTCCAGTCTTTAATTTAATTCAGGTATGCATTGTTTACATAGAATAGTAGTACTGTTCAACAAGTTGGTCATCTCAGAAGACAAAAACGCAAAACGAGAATGTGTGGAAGAAATTAAGTAAAAAATGTAGTGACATGCAGAGAAAAACGTTTGGTCAAGAGTAATGTGTTGAACTGCAGTTTATTGGCTTAGAAAGTTGACACAACCAGTAGGTTGCGGGTTCGAATACCGCCCCACCCGCTGTGGTCTTGGCAGTTAGGTAGTATCATGAGCCTTCTCACGATATAGGTGTAGTTTATTGCCTACTTCAGGAATGTGCATAAGGCTGTTGAGTGAATTCCTATTTCGATAATATGAAGACTATAGGTGATACATTTAGTCTCCAGAGGATCATTCAAATATGGTAGAAAGCGTACAGATAAATTCTTCAGCATTTTCTCCTATCTGCTTGTAGGGTCTGACCTCATCAGATCAAGAGCAGCTTCGATTAGTCTATGTGTGTGGCAGTCTGTCTGAACATGTGGTCAAATTTACGTACACTTTCAACTTCTCATGTTCTGTATAAGCTAACTAGTTACGCAGCTTCTTTCACCCGCCGTTAAATGGAAGAATAAAACGGCACTCATTGTTACTATTCTAATTATAATCTTATTCATTCATATATGCATATTAATTCCAGATTCACAGAGTGGAGTAATTTATGCTTATTTAATTAAAGTTCTTATCACAGCTTGATATCAGTCATAAACACATTGAGAATCTTGAAACAGACAGACAGAATCAACGTGGAACATCATACAGAAGTGCATCGGTTCAATCTGTCACACTTCACAGTAGCATATAAGAATAAGTGCAGAGAAGAAGACTGACATTAAAGTAGACAAAGTTGTATGAGAGAATAAACAATTTGAAGATTAGAGTCATTGCGAATATTCAAGTTTTAGAACAAATCAAGCAGTAAATACACCTGCGCCACTGTCACCGATTTTCAACCATGTCACTAAGAGTCTTTACCCACTGATTCCTACTGTAGGAAACAAGAAGACGGAGACAAAGGAAGGAACGTTTATTATTGACATTTTATACAGTAGTCGTCAAATAAGGTACACCTTACACTAAGACAATCATTTGCATAATGTGCTTCGTTTCCTCTTCTGCTTCTATCTTGATTTCTTCTTAATACGCCCGAATTGTCTCTTGCGTTTCTCTGGAAAGAATCTTTACCCATGGATGGTAATTGCCTATGATTTCTACCATCCTCTCAACATATACTACTTGTATCCATTCTGATCAGCAACGCCTACTATCATCTCGGGGACCCAAGCCAGCCAGTCTACATCTTCCCATACGGCTCAGACTAACAGTCAAAGGCCTGGTGCCACGTCTTAGTCTGGTCACCCTGAACCCTCTTCCAACCAAATCCGGATTCACTTAGCATTGCACTTCGAGATAGGTGGTGGCTTGGCATGCGCACCATATACCTAAGCCATCTGGCCATCTGTGAAATCGACTGGGGATATATCCGACTATCTATCAAAGGACGAGAATACTGTACTGCGGTTTGTTCTGCGTTGTTATGCGGTTGCAAGACGCCGTTAAAAGTAAATTTAAAGTGGTTACAGTGTTTTGCTCATAGATGCATTTTCATAGGATTGCTCACGTTTAGTGGGGTTATCATGTGAGCAGTGTATATGTTAGGCATCAGGTACTAGGCAGGACAGGCTAGCCAATCGATACTGTTCTGGACCTTCATCGACTGAAATGGCTTGGACATATGTTGCGCATGCTTAGCCACCGCCTACCACGACGTGCCATGTTAGCAGAGGTTGGATTAGGTTGGAAGTAGGCTTAGGGTGGCCAGATGAAGACGTGGCATCAATGCATGAAATCCCTGACTATTGGCCTGAGTCGTGTAGGACGGTGTAGAATACTTGGTTGAGGTCCTCAAGACGATTGGTATCAGTGGTTACAGATTCTTGGTTAGATGGCTGAAAATCAGTCACAATGGTGCAGATATATTCATTGCTTGTATACTAATGTTAAGTGTGTTGACTTGCAGAGATGCACTTGTGTGCGAGGCTCTACGTTAATTTTATCTGTCCAACGAATAACAGATCTCATCATTATCGTTCAATGCTGTGTTGTATCATCAACTTAATTATGACGTATGAGTGGATACTTGGGAAACTGAATGAATTTTCTATTTTATGCAGCGCTTCGATCAATTAAGCAAGGTAATACACCTACTGAAGTTAGTGCTGATGATGTCATCTAGCAAGACGATGAAAGCTTCACGATTAAACAACCCAGCTCAAAGAATACAATAAAGCCAAGATCATCCACCTGAGCTACAAATATTCTCTATTATTTCAAAATCATACGAGCGTGACACGCTTCATGTTGTTCGAAGATGGGAAGACTTCTCCAAAAGAATAATTATTCTTTCTCCATGAGTACCTAAGTCAGCATGTTCTGCCGAAGAGTGTCAGATATAGACCACCGATTAACTGTCCAATGGGATTGAAAAAAAGCCAAACAAAGTGTAGGGCAAGCGGTACAATTAATGATCACAGATGCACATCATCGGATCCAGAAATACCAATCAGTGATTAACAATCAAAAGGTAATACACACCTCTGACGGTCCTCAAATTGAAAAGAGGAGAGAAAAAAGAAGTACCAATGTCAACATTTTGTTACTTCTTGTCAGTCTGTTGTTTCGCAGTAAAAATCAACTAGTTCTTTATGTGAAGATAATATTACATTGTAACAAATCAATCTTTGTTTGGCTTATCGAATGTTGCAAATAATTTTCTTCTAACTTTTGTAGTTACTCACAGAATGAATCATATCCATTTGGTTGTAAGAAAAATGATCATGACAAACAAATCAGTGATACAGAAGTACAAACTAATCATTCCAGCTATAATTCGAATATTGCTGTATCAACGACAAGAACATCTAATGTATTCACTACAGAAGATCGTGAATTATTAGCTAAACTTTGGCGTTATCTAGATCCTACTAGTAATGTGTTTGGCAATATTTCGCCACCTCCAAAACCTCCACTTCCAAACTCCTGTCCGCTTAATCTTTCATTCTCAGATCGTCGTACAGAAATAACTAATAGTTCTACAAATCATTCCTCTACTCCCCTGAGTTTAAATCCATTTGATGATCCTGATTTAGTTGCCTATCTTTGTACAATTGCTTCTACTGCACAACAAAAATATCCTACTGAATTAAGTCCTAGAAAATGTGATTCAACTTCAAAAGGAGAATCTTTACTACTAACCTCTGGGTAAGTCTTCATCTTTCCTTGTGTTTTCAGAAAAACTCGATCGACAAACATTTTGTCGCTGTTCGCTAGTTCGAATCCTGCCGTGGCGTAGGTTTTTGTTTCACCTTCAATTATTTACTCTTCAGCAGATATTTTTCTCACTTTTAATACTTTTATTTAGCTTACCATTTTCTTTCTGTTTTTCATGGAATAGGCTGGATTTGAATGCAACTGAACACTTGAGTTTTCCACTGGTTGATGAGTCAGATCCGAGTGATACGGAATCAACTATACACCATCCTAACAATTCAACTGAATTTAAGAATTTTCATCGAAAGCAATTACCTGATACAATAACACGCGATTCTTTACATCCCACTATTACAAATTTCAAGTTACATAATGGATATCGCGATGAAAAAATTCATCAGAATGATAAAAGTTCATTTAATTCTACACATTTCAATCCATCTAACTGTAATGGGAAATTTTTTGATCAGAATACTGCTAATCGAGTAAGCTTGTTTATTTTAACGATATTTGTGTATCACAAAACTTATTAGAATGTATATATTTTAGTACGATTGTTAACCGACTTAACCTTCATCTTTTTTTTACACAATGGTTATAAGCTATTTGTCTTTTCCACGAGGATAAGCTTAACTGTATAATATGTTCTAATGGCTAATGTTAGCCTATGTTTCAAAATAATACTACTCAACTCCCCTCTACTGTATGGTAGAGTGATATGGACACTTTTCTTAGAAACCAGTGTATAAAGTTGACTTTTGGTGTTACCTGACTTCTACAACGGTTTATAAACTTCAGATATCCCTTCCTGTAGGTGTTTTGGTCAATAATTTGATATATTCATCCATCGTATTTGCTGTACAGATACGATCCATCGTCATAAATAGCCATTTAATTAAACCTCGTTTGTATTGGATAAATCAAAACTGGGAAAGTTCAGTTATTGTCCTGTCCATGTAGGGTTCCTGTAGACTGACTGTTTTATTGAATCATCGTCTCTTCATCTCAAAAGTACGTCCAAGTATGGCAAGTGATTATTATTCGCCCTCTCACAAGTCAGTCTAACATGACTTTATACAGTATTGTCCGCAGGAGTTTATAAACTGTTGTAGAAGTCAAGTAACACCAAAGCCAACTTTATACACGGTTTCTTAATGAATATATATGTTTTCTTTTACTTTCATCCGGTATGTTGATTGATAAATTATTAAATAGAAGTTCCATATGGGTTATCCATGTTTTCTGGGATTATCATTCTCGTGGGCTGCTACATGCCCTAGACGCTGGAATCATGTCATTCTCAAAAAATAAGATTTTTGTGAAATAAAGAATCTTAACGGCAAGAAAATAAGTTTTCATCAAGCCTACATAATCACCTTTAGTCTGTTTACCAGTAACATGCAGTAGACTTCAGTTTGAACTAGTTTTTTGCTGAGTAAATAATTACGAAGGATAAATTCTATGTCCTCTGAATATAGTTCACACTTTTAAAATAGTGGGGAATATTTGTAACTCAGGTGGATGGTCTTGGTTGTATTGTGTTCTCTGAGGAGCTGGGTTGTTTAATTGTGATTAAACAACCTCGTCGCACAATGCTAGCAAACATAAGTGTTGGCTGAACAAAAATTATGGGTGTCCAGACTAAAACATGGCATTATTGCGTCAAGTCTTTAACTGTTGCTCTGAGGCGTATAGAGATTTATAGACTTCCTAGTTAGGTTTCGCATGATAGCAGAAACCAGTGTTTGAAGACAGTAGGTTATATGGCTAAAAGTCGATGTCAGTGGTGCAAATATATCCACAGATTGTACTCATCTTAATCGTTAACAATATTGAGGTTAAGCGAAGGGTACTAGACAAGATAGACAAATCGATTCATGAGCTTGTGAACCTACATCGGCTGATATAGTTTGGAAATGTGTTGAGTATGCCGATCCACCCCGTATTCTGACGTGCTATGGTAGGAAAAGTGGTATTAGGTTAGAAAAGTGTCCAGGGTGGCGAGACCAAAACGTGACACCAGCTGATGAAGTTTCTGACTGTCGTCCTGAATTGTGTAGGGAGGTGTGGACTATCTGACTGGAATTTCCGAAACGACATAGCTGAAAATCGGTCACAGCGGTGCGGATGTATTCCTTGCCTGATGTCTTGTATAGCTTTAATATTTGCACTAACCTTTATCTTCAAATTATTTGTTCTCTCACACAATTTTACGTACCTTGATGTCACTCTTTTCTACTACTACTACTGTGAAGTTCGTCCACTTGAAGGGATGCACTTGTGTACAGAGTTCTTCGTTGATTCTGTCTTTCTACCATATTTATCTTCATGCTGAATTCAATATTTTCTTATTCCTCCTTATTATCTTATCACGACTTTCTATTGCTTTAAACTGTTTTCACAGTGCTTTCTCGCTTGATATGAGGTGTTGCACTTTGTACCATTATGTACAATAATACCTGATCTAGATCCCAACTCCATTAACTTAACGGTGACATGCTTGGCATAAAAGCTGACAATCCTCGGCTTGATTCTGTGAAGAGTTGTGCATATTTACTGTATATGAGTTTTCTAAGGTTACTTGGAGAATGTCAGTATTTTATCTACGATCAGTCAACTTTGTGTAACCTGTTCAGTTGAGTAGTTTGAATTTAATCAAGTCTAGTGTAGTGTGTAAGTTCGTATCAAATTTACCACTTTTCAAGTTTTCTCCATCAGCTTTTGTTCCATATCTTCTTTAAATAGAGACGTGTAAAGGAGGCTATGGTCTATCTAACTGATAATATAAAGCCAACTTCCATCTTATCTCTAATATGAAATTCACTAAGGACTTGATTTGTTTGATCACCGTTACCTTTGTAACATAAGCTGTGTGTCGTGGTATCATCACATGTTGAATGCAGAAATCAGGTGTAGAGTTTTAGGAAGGAATGGATAGTCACTTGACAAGGTCATGAAACTTCATTAACTGAAGTGGCTGGTACATGTGTTACGCATGCTTGATCAGTGTCTGCCTCGTCACGTAATGTTAGCCATTTTGGGGAATGCAGACTAGCTGGCTAGGATCCATGTAATAAGAGAAATCAGTGGTTGATATTACTTAGAACTAATGCCAGTGGTGCAGGTGTATCTATACTCAATTCAGCGTTTCCTCACTTCCCCTCCCTCTCTTTCATTACTTTCTAAGGTTTTTGACCAACTTCTCTCTCTCTCATCTTACTGCTTTGTTACCTGATGTCCTGATGCTTGGTCTCAAGTTGATATTGATTGATATAATGATCGAAGAATTTCATTATCTTAGTTTCTTCAGTTATTGAAGAGCTAGTGAACAACATAGCATCACTTTACTGTTGGTCTATGTGTGTATGTTAGACCACACCCAACTGTTTAGCGTAATTAATTTGCTGTTCATCATCTGTAAACTATTTTTAGCTTGACTCATAAAAATTAATTTTCATCACAATTTTAATTGCTATCTTCTTATATAATTATAGGCATAACAACAAAACCTTGGGATCACATTTTTCTCTCCTATGGTTTATGTCAATTAGTTCTCTCCGTAAAGCTGTAATAGATAATTACAACTGTAATTCGGTCAAATTTTACTTGTAAGGCGAATAATTTGTTTACTTTTGAAATAGTGGAGAATATTTGTAGCTCAAGTGGATGGTCCTGGTTGTATTGTGTTCTTTGAGAAGATGGCATTGTTTAATCGTGAAGCTTTCGTCGTCTTGCTAGACGATATCATCAGCACTTCAGTACTTCAGTATTAACTTTAGTATGAAGTTAGTGCTGAGGATGTCGTCTAGAAAGACGATGAAAGCTTCACGATTAAACAACCCAGCTTAGAGAACACAATACAACCAAGAATTTGTTCACTGCCTAAGTAACTTCGATTTACATGGTCTGTAATGTAATATAGTAAACCTAGTATGTGGTGTAATACAACAACTTGAGTTGTGTGTTTTTACTGTCGAAGAAAGTTTTAAGGCAGAAATGGTTTGCATTTTGTCGAATCATTAAGCAAACCTAAGTGATTAAAATCATTAACATCACGATGCACTTCGACTAGCGTAATGGCATCTTTTTGTCAGAAACTATTTTCTATGTTAGTAATGGTGGATATCATTATAGTGATAAGTGTACTCAAATTTGTAAACTGTAGCTTTTAACAGTGAGAATATCTCCTTTATTCCACATTCAAATGGTGTGCATCATTAGGAAATAAAGAATAACATGTTTGAGCAGGATAATGAGTAGAGATGTTAACTTTATGTAAAGTGAAGTGAAGTGCAAATAATACTTGATACATTATTTTATTTATCCAATTTATAGTGGCCAGCAGGGGAATCTAGGACACACATTTCGTCCGATTTGGGGTTCGTCAGTTGCACGTACCCACCTTCTAGTGGGTCATGTTGTCCTTATTAAGGCGTGAACCCAGGACAAAACATAAAAACGCTTATCATTACTGTCCAAGAAGCTTGTTTGGCGCATATAGAACACTGATGCTGACATGGCTTGATAGCGAAGTGATTTCGTCTACCTGATGCCTGATGACTCTCTTGGAGAGTGCACAATATCCATTCAGAAATTCATGTTTACTCCACAGATTATAAGGATAAATCGTAGACTGAAGTTGAAAGCTCTACGCATGAAAAGGCAAGCTTAGATAACAGTAAAACTGGTGGAATACAAGTATTCGTAAATCAATTTACGAAAATCCACTATTATATACTTACAGATATTTTTCTAATCTCCTTGGTGGCTTGCATTGGAATCCAGGATGCGTGTCTCTTCCTATTTGGGATTCTCCAGAGGGATTTACCCGCACCCCAGTAAGTGATTTTGCCTTCTCCGGGACTCGAGCCCCATTCCCATCACTTCAAACGCCAAGGCGTTACCTACCAGACCACTACGGCACAAGTCTTAATGGGAGCAACATGATCCACTGGGGTGCAGGTACACTTAGCTGACAAGTTCGAACAGGACGAAACGCACATCCTCGATTTCACTTTTAACCACTATCCATTGTTTATTATTTTTTAATTATTTGTCCCTTGGGTTCCTTTTGGAACATAGGGCTTCAGTAGCACGTCTCCAATGTGCTCTGTTCTCTGCAGTCTTTTGAAACTGGCTACACCTCTGCCGACAAGCTTTCATCTCATCCTCACATAATCTCCCCCATGTCACCCTCTCCTCGGACGCCCAACTCGTCGTTTTCCATTTGGATTCCACTCGAGGGCCTGACCTGGAGCGTGATGTCCCCAAATGGTCTTCTCAGTGTACACCCAATCCATCTCTCCCCTTTCTTCTGCATATTTTTTGGTCGATATTTTCTTAGTTGGTTCGTTGCCAACCAGAGATCTTCGTTGCTTGTTCTTATTATTCTGGCCATCTGATCTGGTCTTGAGTATAGAGTGAGCGTAGGCGGCAGCTGTTGATGAATTTCTGTAGTTTCCTGAGAATGCTTTTCGTGACGCGTCAAATTTCTCAACCATGAAGAAGCATTGACTTGACTTTAGTGTTGGAAATCCGAGTCTTTTTCATCCTTTATACCGAGTGGAGTGCAGAAGATCTCCACACTGACTTCAGGTTAATGGATGCCTGTGTTGCCGTCTTTTCGATCCTGGCTTTGACACTGTCATCTGTGCCTGTGCCGCCTGTAGTTGAGGTGATACTGCCTAGGTATGTGTAGTTGAAAGAGACTACTTCCTTTAAATTTCTCCTGTTGATGGTGCTTGTTGTTGTAGTTAGTTGAGTATCTTCATCACCTCTGTCTTCTCTACATTCACCTGAAGTCCCATCTTCGCTGCCCTGCCTTGCCTCTTCTGTCAACTTGTTGGTTTTTGCCTGTATATTTTCGACTTTGTGAGACATTCGACATAAATCATCATCTCTGGCTAAGTCTAAATCTTCTAGGGTCTTTCCACCGGTCAAGCAGCGTATACGCACCCCTCTTCTTGCTCCTCACAGCTTGTTGCATGGTGCAGTCCAGTTGAGTCGACCACAATCAGGAAGATGATCAGTGATAGTAGTTGGCAGCCTTGTTTTACTCTTGTCTTCATTTCAAAGGTGTCACTGAGCTTTCCATGGTGAATCACTTCGCATGTAGCCTGACTGTATAGAATATAGCTGCTGTTTAATGAGGTTGATAAAGATTTGTGGCACTAAAAGCGTAGTGTTGAAGCAGCATCTGCCTACCAAATTACTTGTCAGTGGATGCTGTCGAATGCCTTTTCAAAATCGATGAAGTTGAGGTAGAGAGTTGACTGCCATTCTATACTTTGTTTTATGTCCATCTGGTAAAATCCATGTCGCTTTGTGAATGTCCTCGTGTTTGTACACACTGCCTTCAATCACCAAATCGTTGAATGCGCAGAAATCTGCAAACAGTTCATCATTCTCATTCATCAGTTTATCGAGAGCTTCTCGACCCATGATGAGTTCTCTTCCTATATTGTCCGCTCCCAGTTTGGCGTTCATGTCACCCCACTCATTAGAATTTTGATGTAGCCAACTGGAGTCTTGTCCAGAACTGATTGCAGTTGTTTGTAAAATTCCCCCTTCTTCTCTTCATCTGCATTATTTGTAGGTGCGTAGCGTAGCATAGCATTGTATGATTGTGATTTTCCTTCATTTTGAGTTGAATCTTGTTGCCATGATCCTGATGGTGGAGGAGATTGGTTCCCACTGCATGAGACCCTTCGATGGTCTTCAAGGGGACATCATGATAGCCACTCGAAAGCTCAGTGTGCTCGTTGTTGTCATCTGGGTGACAATATTGGAGTAGATTATTGATTCCTCTCCAGTTGACAGTGTGGAGGGTCCACTTCCATTCCATCTACAGATTCCTCGCAGATTCCAAGCACTTTCATGACATACCTCCTCATCTCTTTTGAAATCTGGGCAGCCTTGCCAACCAGCTTCGTACATGGTGTGGACATTCCATTTCCCCATGTTTACTTTTGCTTTCATCGAGAGAGAGAGGGAGAGAAGACACATTGGCCAATTGACTTCCCGAAGACTCACCAACCGGCGTCATTTCTTGTCTCCGATTCCAGCAAGGAATAAGTTTATTTTCATGTTTAATATTTTCTCTGTACTTTGAAGTTTCTTTAGGGATTGGACTGGTTTTCCGGGGTATTGTCGCTAGCCCTATCCCCAACCTTCTCTGTTTATCCGGGCCTAGTGCTGGCTGGTAACTAGTGAACTAGTTAACCAGGCGAGGTACTATCCATCGTTACTTTGAAGTAAATATCGTTTACAGTAATTTTGCATGTTATAGGTGATAGAGAATTATTAGGTTAGGGTAACCAACTTACCACCTAGATCAGAGATGGATAACCTGCTTTTCCTGACAACCCTGTTGCTGAACAAAGTTGTTTAGCATACAGAGATACATCCAGTTATTCAAATTTCACCGCATGACATCTTATTTAAGAAACTGTTAGCTTCCTGGTGACAAGGACTCCAAACATGGCTCAAAATCAACCATTTCAATGCAGACTGACTTACAATTTATCTTCCCTTTTCCGTTGAACATCTTATTGTTCTATACTTATTTCATTCTCCTTATTTATCTCGATGCGTTTTACAGCGTTGTTGGTTTATACTGTCTGTATTATTATGAACTGTGATAGTTTGACCGAAGTGACTTCTGTGCAAACATTTGCTTTCAAGATAAGATTTGGGACTCCATGGTTGCCGGTATTACCACTATACTGATAGCTAGTGGTGATTGTTTGTTTCCTAAAAGTTAGTGGTCGAAGCAGCATGATATATTTTGGTGGATAATGTAATCTCTCGACATATAATACTTGTCTACTGTACAAGATGTGATGATGTCTATGCATTATTGTTAGTTTCCTTCCTTGCTGTCGAATGAGTTTCTTCGTCTTTCTTCCTTTAATCTAAGCGCAGAAGTATCTGGTTTAGGTTCAGTACTACTTAAATTAGATTTTATCCGTAAAGATTAGAATTGAAGGGAACTTATCATTATTATTATTATTTGTCCCTTGGGTTCCTAATGGAACATAGGGCTTCACTGGCACGTCTCCAATGCGCTCTGTTCTCTGAAATCTTTTGAACCTGGCTCAACGACATCCCAGAAGCTCTCATTTCCTCCTCGCACAATCTCCTCCATGTCACCCTCGGACGTCCAACTCGTCGCTTCCCATCGGGGTTCCACTCGAGGTCCTGGCTTGACGCGTGATGTCCCCAGTCGACCTTCTCAGTGTATGCCCAATCCATCTCTCCCCTTCCTTCTGCATATTTGTTGAGCGATAGGTCCTTGGTTGCTTCGTTGCCGGCCAGCCGGAGTTCCTTGTTGCTCATTCTTGTTATTTTGGCCATCTGATCTGCAGTAACGAGCCAGCGTAGGCGGCTGTTGATGAATGTCTGTAATGTGTCGGAAATGCCTTTCTTAACTCGCCAAGTCTCTGAGCCATACAGAAGCACTGACTTGACGTTGGTGTTGAAAATCTGGATATTGTTCACACTTTATACTGAATGGAGTGCAGTAGATCTCCACACTGGTTTCAGATTAATGAATGCCTGTCTTGCTGTCTTTCCGATCCTGACTTTGACGTCCTCGTCTGTGTCGCCTGTAGTTGAAACAGTGCTCACTAACTATATACAGGTTTGTATGCGATCTCTTGACATATTGTCTGACGTATGACTGCAATATACAGCCTAATAAAGCAAAGTCAATTGAGAGGATTTTAACAAGCACCCCAATGGTTTAGCTCTAATTGTTTACATAGTTAAACTATAGTTCTAATAAACTTTTTCGGAGTTATTGTTTCAACAGTGGATCTGAATATTCCTTTTAAATAGTATATTTATGGTAGCATTCATCATGGACTGAGATCATTTGGAGAACCATTGAAAACATGGAAGCACTGGACAGCAGTTTCGTCCTAGTATAGGATTTCTCAGCAGTATGCACCCATAACGCGGCTACGGATCGAACTCAAAAACTTTAGGTTTCATGACAAACACGTTAACCACTCATTCGATGGGTTGGAGTTCAGTGGTTCGCAGTTTCCTACTTCTATCATTTCGCGATATAGTGTGACCGCCACCAAACTTCTTCAGATGGCATCATCTTAGCTTCTGACTAGTTGATGTCACAGGCCACGGCTTTTGATTAGAACTTTGCGATATCCATCTCAAAGCATGTCACCAATAAGCACTATATATAGTAATGTATAAGTTCGATCGCTAGCCGGGTTGTAGGTACGTACTGCTGAGGAGTCTCCCACTAGGTCGAAGTAGCTGTCACAGATTTTCATATATATATATATATATATATATATATATATATATATATATATATATATATATATCAGTTAAATTGGAGTTAACTAAAAGTTTTTTCATACTTTTTATTTAAAAGAAACTGAGCTCTTTATCGAATGTATAATGTATTTTCTGTGTAGAAGATTCCATATCAGCCGGAAAAGTGTTGTAAATACTGGTCGAGATCTATGTCTACCTCAGAGGCTAACAATCCACTCAGTGATAGCTTAATGCAAGAACAAGTAGCAAAAATGGTAATGCACTTACAAGACAGTGATTTACATACACAACAAGTGAGTAGTGATTTCTTTTCTTTCATAATTTTATGATAGTCTTTATTCACTTGTTATGCATTGACATTAACCCCATCTTTCAACCAATAAGAAACACAGAAAACGGCGAGAAGATCAGAATTCACGTCAACAGGTCAACTAATCGAAATAAACATGGAGATAACGACTAGATCTTGGCAGAAAAAACCGATCGCACTCAAGGCCATCATGATTAGTTATTAGGCCACTTGTAGAGAAAACCACGTAGCTCACTTCTTCCTTTTGAAGTTTGTACTGATGATGTCTAGATTGACAATGAGAAAGCGTCACGACTAAACCATCCAGCTCAGAGAACACAACACCATCAAAATTATCCTTTTAAGCTACAAATATTCTTCATCATTTGTTATGCATAATCAGCTTACAGTGAATGTTTCGCTCACTTCTAGTACGGTTTCCACTAGTGTAACCGATTAACACATTCTTTGGATCATTTTACAGTGTGACCACCAAGCTAGGCGACTCACCATTGCTATGCATCCGGAATAGATGTTAGCTGGATAGAGGTGATTGGCAAGAAGCCCTGTTTGACCTTGGTGTTGTGCTTGTCAATGCTCATCAGCTGGACGTGTCTACAACCTTGACAGAACTGATGTCCCGTCTGAAACTCGTTTTTGGACTCGAGTATCAGTACTTAGTTGGAGAAACGCCGACAAGCACAAAACCTAGCTCTCCATGGCTTCCTACAGATAGTCTTCAATCAACTAGCACATTGTATTCATTTTTTGTTTGATCCATCCTTTAGTTATGATTGAAGGTAATCGATTTTGTTTTTTTTGGCATAGAAACGATCTCATATGAGTATTTAAGTTCTCCTTAGGTAAATGAATGTAGTAGAATGTTATTCATGCATATGTCGCAGTTAACTAGTAAATGTATTTCGATTCGTAAAAAAAAACATATTCTCATGAGGATATACTGAACACTTGCTGTGTTATATATGTCAGCATGAATGAATGCATAGCACAATGATAGAATATTATTAGAATTCAGAAAAATTCATTGTATGGTATGTGCACTTTTACTACAAGATACCGAAATTCTTTGTAATTACCTACTGCAAGACAAAATCGACAACAAACATTCAGAATGCTATGTAAACAGTTGAATCTAGTCACAAAAATGTACTCACCATTGAGCTACACCTTTATTGTACGCAGACTAATGATACTACCTACTGTCTGAGGCTGCTCAAACTTTGATAGATGGAGTGAAGTTTGAACCCGTGACTTACTGTCTCGCCTGGGAATTGAACTTAAGTCAGGGTACTTTTTTTCTTGAAGGTCCAGAAAAACTGTATGAAATAAAATTGTTTGTCCTTAGTATCTATATATCCAACTATAGGAATATTTTTCTATTAAGCTTTGCTTTAAAGTATGTAGTGGTTGAATTTTGAAGAGAACTATGAACTTACAGTAGAATTTCATTTTTGAGTTCTTCAGCTTACTGACTTGGTAATCTACTGATTAATATGAAAACTTTTAGTCAACGAGATTGTCTTTGAATATCGTATAAAAACAGAAGCGGGAGGATTATACAATTTTTCATAACTCAACCCATCTATACAGACTTATTGAAGTTTATTTTCGTATATGGTGAACAGATAATATAACTAAAATTGCAAATGACTACTACCTTCAACTGTGGCTCTCATATGCGGTGAAAATAGTCAACGAAATCCGCTTAAGTAATCTGTGTATGGTGTAGTGTACAGTCAAAACTACAGCTGACTCCTCAAACGAGCACATTAGTCAAATGACTGTGAGTGGTCCATATGCAAAATTAATCAGAGAAATAAAGACAACCGATCACAATGACAGTCACAGTTCTATAAAAAGGCAAATAGTCATAAATGATTAGGATTCAACAAATGCAGATGAAAGGTGACTTTAAAGACCACCCTAGCAACTGCTGAAATCACCAATTAGGTTTCGGTATATCGTCCATGAATTTAGTTTTTCATACAATAGAGAAAAGTAATCGGTTATCTCTGTATTTTCTGAGGTGGCCTTTTAAAGTCAAGTGCAGATAAAGTGTTAATCAATGAAATAGAGTAGATGGTTAAATTAGCTTACGGCTTTACAAATACAACTTTTTGAGATGTGAGGATCGACAAAAAGGTGGACAAGAATAATAAATACAATGCAGCATAAAATATATTATTGCTTATTAGGTTTCTCTGGTACTCTTTTATCATCCGGACCGACTTTTGATTGTACTTCATTTAATCCAATGCATTCTTTTACTTATTTACTGTGGAAATAGAGTGACTTTAAAGGTCACCCTACCAAAGACTGAAACAGCCAATTAAATTTCTTAATTTCATATGAAAAGGCAGGTTTTCATAAAATCAAGAAATCGTATTGGTTATAATAGTTGTTGTTAGGGTGGCCTTTAAAATTACTTGCAACTGTTGAAATCACCAATGAGATTTCAGTATTTCCCCTAGGATGATACTTTTTCATCAAATAGAGAAACGTTATCTTTAAGGTCATTCAATGCCGAAATCTGATTGGTTATTTCAGCATTTCCTAAGATGATCATCAAAGTTACTTTTTTCTAGTAATTTAAATCTTTCCAACAAATCATAACCCGTTGTCACAGGTGAACTAGTGATAAGTCATTGTCTTAGGCTCAAAAGGTCCTCCTGAAAAGTATGCTTCAGAATTCACATACACATAACTTCATACACTTGAGAATCCTACTTTTTTCAGTATTTTTCACTTTCGTAATTTCAGCAGTATATCTTGTTTTATATGTCTAAGATTTCCTAAAAAACTATTTATGAAATTTTCAATATCTACTGACTTTATGCACGATTGTCATCATATTTCTGATAACGTTTGAACGGAAACGTAAAGTTTGATCTTTCCTTTTTTGGTTAAGTAATTTTAAGGGGATAATTTATCTGAAAATACCTTTTATCTAAAACTCGTGCCTTTTGTAGCATCCTTAGTCACATATGATGTAGGTACAAAGTTGACAGCTTACACTACTATGTCTAAATTGGAATAAAATAGATTATCCAGTGTTCTTTTGCGTTCACTTTGAACATTTGATCAACGTGGGTTTGAATCTCAGAGGGAACATCAGCTCCCTCGAGGTTATAGATATGCCTTGCCGATGAGTGCCAACAAGCATGGAACCTGGGTCAGACAGCTTCCTGTCGACTGCCTTCAACCAACTAACATTCATCAAAAATGCACCACGATGATGCACCTCCTAGCTTGGTGGTCACATTGCAAACTGATCGATAGAATTCAGTCATCACTCAGGACTGGACAACATGAATGAATCAGTTTATCTAACTCAGCCCTACTGGAGGTCAATCTCAGCCTAAATAGCTCAGTGGTAACGTCGTTGACTACAACTGTGGTTGACGCGTGTTTGAAACTCACAGGGGACATCAGTTCCGTCGAGGCTACAGATACACCTTACTGACAAGTACCAACACTCACGGAACCTAGATCAGACCGGGCTTCCTTCCGGTTGCCTCCAACCAACTAACATTTCATCAGGTTATACATTAAGGTGAAGGTTTGACTGGATAGTTTATAAGTGTGATTTTTGTCACTATAGCTTGAAAGGTTCAGTGAAAGTTTTCATCGACAAACTCATAAATACACGCACTCACACCTTAGTAATCAAGGAAGTACATGGAAACAGAATAGCACTTCACATCAAGTTTAATCATGCTTATTTAGTTTTCTTATTGTAATGATACAAATCAAGAGAAACAATCACAACATTCACTAAATAATCAATATGAATATCTTTTTGTTTATTTTTCACTATATGTTTCACACTAGATAAGCTGTATGCAAATAAATCTTATTTATTGGTTGGTACTTGTAATTCCTCTTAGCTATGCAGGGTCGAATTACTCGACTTTTGTTGGCAGATTGGCACCTGTGAGGATACCTCTATATTACCTGGATATTCATTACGTTGTAGTCCATTTAGTGGGTTGAAGTGGAACCCAGGAAGTACGTTTTATTCTATTTGAAACTGACTTGTCAGCTGGATATATCTGCACATGCACTCGTGCCACAGTAGTCTAGGGGATAATTGTTTGATGTTTGAAGCAGTGGGTACTAGGTTCAAGTCTCTTTGAGAACATTGTCACTCACTGTGATACAAGTTTATCTAGCTGGGGAGTCTCGAACAGGACTAAATGAGCATCCTGAATCCCACTGCGAGTCACCTTGATGAATACTAAATCCTTCTTATTTGTTTTGTAATAACTCTTTGTATGGTAATTCAGATGATAATTGGTGCTCACATTGTTTGTAAATGATGTTTTTATTATTTCGAAAATCTTTCTTCAATTCGATTATTTTATACCTTTGCTGTTGATTTCGCCTAGTAAGTTCATCGACTTATTGAAGGCTGTTAGCTGAAATACTAATGGATGTATTATTGTTGACTCGGTTCCTTTTAGGAATATTCACTTTCCCTACTTTTTTGCGACCTTACCGTGGACAGATTCGTTCACGTGATGATTTTGTTCTTCACGCTTCATGGAAATTAGTTGTTTTTTTTTGACTGAAGATTTTTAGTTGAGTAGGTAGATAGCATAGTTAAAAGCGCTGACGACAGTTATAGTTTCGTGTATGCTTTTTGAAAGGCAAAATGTTACCTTAGGAGATTGGTCTAAGTTAGAGTTCTGTTTGAGAATAGTTAGCAAAGTAGATGAGCTCATTCACTATTTCAAATACTCAGGAAGTCACATCAGTCTCATTTGATTGGTGGCGGAATAAATAAATTTCAACAAAAATGTCGAGACCGGCTTTTACCGAATTACTCCACTTGTGATGCTGATAGTATATCGAATTACACTAAGATATGGGTCTACTGTATAGTAGTTCACTTCTTCTTACTATATATCAATGAAATATGACCACTGAAATGGAAGAATTCCCAAAGGCTACAATTTTCTGACTACCGTTTACTTCCTAGTG